GACAACTGCCATGAGTTACTCGTAATATCTTGAAAATCCACACCCTATCCGCCGCCCCTCCTGCCAAGTGATGCCAGACACTCACTACGATTAGTCAGAAGATAAAGGTCGTCAGTCAGTATGTTACGAGCTTTTCCTTTGACCGCTAGGTGAAGTTTTTACGCAAGCTCTTCCCATGAGAAAGTGCACAGTGAGTGAGAAAACACGCTACGCGGCGGCGTGCGTCAAAATTCTCTTCTTCCTCACCTATTTTTTTTCAAAAAACACCCTCTGTTTAATAGAGAATATGACCATCACAAAAAAATCGAAGCCCGTCAGAGTAAGCAGTAGGCCCTTTGTCTTGTTGCACAGTCAGGATGGGATGGCCTCAACGATTCTGGTACGTCGGTCCAATCGACTGTCGCTCTTTCATCTTTCTCCGAAAAGCAATCACCGCAGCACTGATAGCATTTTTTTCGCTGACGTTGCTTCTTTGGGTATGTGGTATAAAAGAGGTGTTATCGATAACGGGTTCGTCCATTTCAAGAATGGTCACCTACGTCAAAATTGGTTTTTGGTTTTTCTGGTTACATCATTTGATGAAACAACGTTTCCACATAATGTATAGCAGATTGTGAACCTTTCTAAGGTATTAGAAAATCAGGACTGCTGACATTTTGTGACAATATCGTCGTCTTCACTGTCCACGTTGCTGCACTCGCAATTAGATCATTTGAGGGCAAGAAGGAGGTGCTCACAATGGCTAGAAGGAGGTGCTGTTTTGATGGCGCCATTGAAGGACCATTGGTGTAGACTCCACAGAACGTAGGGGTGTAGTTGACACCGCCCCCAGCGCCCTTTCACCGTGGCACTCCATCAAAACCGTAACGCCCTTCAGCCTTTGTGATCACTGCCTTTAATAACGGAAGGCCTCCATGTCTCACTGCATCCCTAAATTTTCAGAATAATGAGTTTCGAAGGTAAATGGGTGCTGGACAAAAGCGAAAATTTCGATGAGTACATGAAGGTGAGCTAATTGGAACTTTCCTTGCAAAGCTTCGAAGCTCATTTTGTACATATTTTCTATCCCAAAGTATTTCCAAAGAAATTCTTTTCTATTGTACTCCATTCTGTTTAGGAAGTTGGTGTTGGATTGATCACTCGCAAAGCCGCCGCTCAAATCAAAGTAAAATTGGAGATCAAGAAAGAGGTAAGTGTGGCTGTTCAGTTCCTTTTTAAAATAAGTAGTCATAAGGTAGTCCATCAGAATCTCCTGGGTTTTGGTCTGCAAAAGTGGTCCCAAACCCTCCCCCCCCCCCCCCCCCCCCCCCCCTCAATCATAACAGAACCTAAAACCTGTATGAACCCACTAGCTTTAGACGGCGGTCAATTTTACATGGGAGGGTTGTCCTGCAATAAGTGGTTTTCATCCTTCTATCCTGCTCACAATCTTTAAGGGCAATTGAAGCACTGGGCCCTAGCCGGAGCACAGTTTGGCCAAACCAGTCTCCCAAGAAAAAGTAGGAAAAAGCTGTTACCCTGCACCAAGACTAATTACTAAATTGGAATACCGAGGGGGTTCGACAGCAAAGAATCCATCAACTTTGGCCAGCGTCTCAAAATTTCAAATTTATGTCGCCCTAACGACACATACGATGTCTCGACTATAATAAGCCGTACCAGTCTGCTGGGGTAAGCGATGTATTAGCTGTGGTAGGTGCCAGTTACCACTTCTCGGAGACCAAATCTTGGGTCGTGCGTCGTTCAGGACAACAGAGCCCTTCAACCCTCCGGGATCGCCTGTTTGGTATCAGACGTGTTGGCAGAATAAAAACAATGCCATGTACATAAACTGAAGCTTGCAAATCATTGTTAGACTAAACTGCATTCAAATTGCTCCACGAGCCCGATTGGGAATCGGACGGGTGGCGCATGTCAAAAAGGGTTTGATTAAAGCCAAGTGTTTTCACTGTTATCGTCGCTCTTTAGGGAGATAAATGGGTCTGCCTGCAAACGTCCACGTTCAAGAACTCAAAGCTCGAGTTCAAGCTCGGCGAGGTAGGTTTCTTAATTATTCTTAGACCGACCAAAATTCGGTATTTATTGGTTGCAGGAATTCGAAGAGACAACACCTGATGGTCGGAAGTTCAATTCACTCATTGAACTAGTTGACGGAAAACTAGTGCACAAGCAGACCCCGATCAAGGTGAGCCAAATTTGAACACTACAATGGCGCACTGAATTCGTAGGGGGCAGAGTCGCTAGCTATGGGCAGGCAGCATCCCCCCCCCCTTAAGTCCAGAACAATGCCGAATGGGAATTTTTCCGGACCAGTGCGTAATTTTAGGCCACCTCAAATTGTCGGCAAGTTTGTTCTATTTGTTAACTGGCTACATCATTTCGTGGGCCACATTTCGGAGTTTCGAAGGTTGTTCGCAAAGGAAGCAGGGTTATGGCAAAGCAGGTGTGTAATCTTTGTCACAATCGTCCGGAAATCAAGAGGTGTCGGTTCGATTCTCGCCTGGGCCTAGTGGCTTTCCCCCAACCAAGCATCTTGTGGAATCAGCAGATTTTCCGCTGCTCAAGGTAATATCCACTAGCAGCCGACTCCCATTTATTCTGTACGCTCGTTAGGAGCATGGAAAGTAAATGAGTAAAAATAAACAGAATTAATGAACTGGTAAATGTAATAGTGAGGGGATTCCCTTTGTGTAAGGCTCGCAAACCTTTGGCATTGCGCCGCCTCCTTGCAGTAGTCCCGTCCTTCCCCTACTAATGGTGATAACACGTTCTTTTCCCCGATTTCCTGATTTTTACCATCTCTGCAATCAATAGTCTAGGTCTCTTCACTGACATGAAATATCTCTGTTGGTGAGACATATTGCACCTTATCTATCTGAGTGCGGCCTGCGTTATCTTCCTACTAGCTACTGGGCTAATCTAAAAACCCACGCTGTACTGGACCTTGACCTTTTTGAGGCCACGTTTAACGTTTAGCCAAAACTGTTGTTCATGGGAAGATTGGAGACCAATATGGTTAGTGTATGGTTTGAAACGCCTCAAACAGTTCCGATTAGATTGCTACGCCTGCTGAGAACAGAAGTGCTGCGTGCCTGGAAACTGTTTTTCTCATCGCATTCCTATGTTCACATGAATCTGGCATCCATTTTTTCGCAAGAAAAACCTTGATAAAGCACGGAAGCAAAACTTGTTTTTTTTCAATCAAAAAAAGTACCCCTCCTCGCTGAAGATTAGTTGGAGGAGAGCAGTGGACATCAGACTAATGTTTCTGTGTTGAAGGTTCATTCATCAATAAAGTAGGTGGGGTTGCTAGAACATGAGAGTAAGGGTGTTAAGCGTCCTAAAGTAGTGAACAAGGGAAAGATCTTCACCTGCTACAACTGTGAGTAAGGTCTCTTTGCTACATGGTGTGGAAATTCAGGAGGCAGACACTGAGAAAAGATATAACAAAACTAAGGATCTGAATGAGAGGAGAAAAGTTCTTAAAAGGAAAGTGCGCCACAGATAGCGATACTAGTACATATATGAATGTTTGACATCGTAGTGATGGGCGAACTGACCGCGGCAGGGTGGGCGGACCACGGTTTGGAACCTAGCGGCACCATTTCTCGGCCATACCCCACCACGGCCAACTAGTGTCGCATAGCCTACGGCTCCTGGTTCCCACATTCCACAGGCCTCATCATGGTGTGTGCATTTCAAGGAAGGTAGCCAAATGAACAAAGTTCTGTTGAAACATAAGCTTATCAGAAGAGGGAAATTACTTAGCGGTGATTAACTTATTCCCGGGATGTCCACGCGCCTCGACTTTCATGCAGGATGTTATGGCATCGGAGTGTGTTTGGACAATATAATGGCGAACCCGTATACATGTCTGGGGTTTTCCTCCTAGATGGTTGGGTATCAAGTCACCGACTGAGAGGTATGAATGATTTCCTCAGCTAAGCCCAGATTCGACATGTTTTTTGATCCTCGGGCCATGCGAGGTGATATAACGGCGCCACTTTTCACTGTCCACTTTCACCTTTCCATGGATTACTGTCAAAAGGATGGGTGGTAACATGAATAATTATAGCCTAGAAAAATGCAATGAATTTCAGGCCGATGATAAGCCATCAGTAATCAAGCGTTGGATCGAGGATGGTCGCTTGATCACCACTCTGGAGTCTGGAGGTGTCGTCTGCCGCCGCGAGTACATCCGCGACGAATGAGATTCAACTCCTCGTCGTGCTTGAAGGAGCCAGCAGTTCACGCTAGACACCCTTTACGGGAAATTTGAATGATTGCTTTATTGTGTGAAGAAATAAATGTATAATACATTGTTGGAGCAGCAAAATCCTTTTTTGTATAAGCGATGGAAATTCGCTGGAGTTCTGCCCATATTGAAGAGACGCTTCACTCATCAACCAGTGCCTATATCCCTTCGAAAGAGTGCAGATTGGCCTAGAGGTAGGGAACTTGTGTGATTTCACGATTCGAGCTTGCGCGGCAAGGATGGTGGGGGCTTTTTTCGCTCGTGGTATCGTATAACTTCGTATAATGTATGCTACTTCTCAAACAGTTTCCCCGAACGATACGACATATACGCTGACTGAAACTGGCCAAAATTTTCTCCGACCTCCCCACTCATTGGCACATGCAACTTTAGGGCCGATGTCATAGTTTGCGAATCGAGCGATTTCGCATAGCTATCCGCTCATTGCAAACTGACATCGGCCTTACAACCGAAGCAAGTACGACCCCCCTTTACAAACTCATCAAAATGTGACCCCCGTTGCTATTGTAGCAACATAGGGTTGACCCTCTCGAGTCGCAAGGATGGTGGAGCCATTTCTGTGCCGTATATCAACCTCTTCCCATCGGCTATTCGTCTTCTAAGCGCCTAAAGTACTGGCGCTGCGTGACTTTATTCGCCTACATATCTATAACTTCTATTCGCGGAAGATCTGCCTTTCCTGCAGCATTATTTCGAATAGTCGACAACACAAATTCAGGTTTAGACTGACAAATTTTCTTCCCCTACCATCCCTTTCTTTTGCTTTTTCCTGACGTCTATATCACTGTTTTGGAATCCTAAAAGCTACATCCTAATACGTAGAAGCGCGATGGAGGGAAGCGAAATCATAGGTGATAAAGTTGAAGTTCCTGTTATTCGGCCAGTCATTTCTACGACTTCAACTTTGCCCATGGCCATCCTGAGACTTCATGATTATTTGGGAAAAATGTCAATTTCTTCTAAACCAGTATAGCGCACTAAGTATTACACTAGCCATACAAATCGTGCACGGCAACTCCTCACGAGGTTCCTTAAGATTTTCTTTTCTCATTGTGAGAGTCTATAATTGATGAAGTCTGGATGTTGAAGGGGAAGATTCTCAGTTGCAGAGCACCAAGTATTATACAATCTCTTTCATTATTAAAAGTTGAAAAACTAATTACACACCTCAGTGATTTAATTGCCTCATCCGAATGAGGTTACTCGCAACCTCGGCGTCTTTGCCCTCGCAGAAATTGAGCACCGTAATGCTTAAACTTTTGCTTTCGAATCCCACCACATTTTCAGCACTTGGACCCGATTTATTGCAATTACGGCTTTGTCCCATAAGTACGTGGTCCGTTAGTCTCAATCTTATCTCAAACGTAAAAATTTTCTGCCAACCTTTTTGTATCAAGATATAACCGATTATATCAAAGATTCGTTCTAATCTACGAATATAACAGAGCGTCAATCAGTGTTCTTTCGCCGTAACTCTGTTTTTTGGTACTGTTATTTCCTCCCACTTCAGCGAAAGATCTGACATGAGTCTAAAAGCCTTCTTTGCAAATATCTAACTATCAAGAGCCCTGGTTTCGAAGGCTTAATGGACCATGTCTTTGATATTTGAAGGGCACTGTTTGAGTGAGAAAAAATGAATGAAAAATGTTTCGGCGAACACTTTTGACGGCAACTGTATGTTTATCCGATTCCATGTCTGCGAATGAGCGGTTCAGTCGGCAAAACCATTCGCACACCTGGCCGATTCTCTTTGCGATTCGCACACCGCCTGCTCTGTCTTTCTCTCGAACTGATTTTTGACTTTTGAGGAACCCCCGGATAAGCAAAACGCTAGAAATCGTTTCGCTATGAAACGTTTGTTATACATCAACTGAATCATTGATGAGCATTCTCTTAATTACATACATCCCTGTTAACACGTTGACGACCGCGCTATTTTTCGCTGTCTGGCGTGTGGGACCGCGCGCATTATTTTGACCGCGCGAGTGTGACATGGCATCATGTCAAACGGTCCCACGAGAACTCCTTTTTCTCAGGAAGTGTGTATTTGTTATCTTTCTTGTGTGGTAGGTCTCCGATTATGCGATTTTGGCCATTTTAGCGATTCCTGTGATTTGATCATTATTCAAACATTTTTAGAAAAACTCGATAGCCCATCAACCGAAGCTTCTTTTCAGGGACCACGCCTTTTGTAACAATGCCTAAGTATGGCGCATACATCACGTAAATAAGTTACCTAAAATGTTTGAAAACCAGCTTAAAAAAGACTGTGACATGACATCATGTCACACGGTCCCACGTGGCCGAAAGAGTGTGGTATGACATCATACCACACGGTCGTCAACGTGTTAAACAACTTCTTATCATCGACACGTAAATGCTGATCGAAAATCGTATCCATACTTGCCACATGATGCTCTACGGCTTCAACAAAGTTTAGAAGGCTTCATAGTCATTCCACGATCTCAAGGAACTTTTCGGCGAGTCAATAATCAACAAAAGTCAGGTTGGCAGATGCCAAGGGATGGGAACTGCTTCCACACGTCGCCATATTCACCGACCAATGCTCTTACAGACTATCACGTCAATCGGTCGCTGAAAAACTCGTAAACGAATAAAATTTGCGGCGATTCGGATGAATTGGTGGCCGAAGGTAAAGTGTGGCTCACCTCCAAGATCTTGACTTCTTTCGTTCGTGAAATTGACACGACGTTCAAGTCAATATGAGTAAGCAGTCTCTGAAGCGTATGCTACCGTACGCTCAGGAATAATCATCTCCAGATGTTTTGTTGGTTGAATGTTTATCGTTTGAAGAATAAAATTTGTTGACAAAAGTCGCAGTAATTATACATTATACGAAGTTATACGAAATCCAGGGCTTATAATTCGATCCCCAGTGAAGATTAGGCTACATTTTTGCATTTCTTTGATTTCCTTTTTCATAGACTCATAAATTGTCTAAATTTATCCAGCGAACAAAAAGTCTCCAAGATGCAACTGTTCAACGATACAAGTGCTGTAGGTTTTATTGTAATGGGAAAGTTTCATAATCCCAAAGGAAAATTTTCGTCCATCTTTTTCCGACAATCCCCGGGAACCTGCTCTCTAAGAAAAGACCATTCCGTTTTTTCATGCTGGCACGCACGTGCTACCCTATATAGTGCAATAAACTCTTCTGAAAAAGTGATCCATGTCCTGAAAGAATTTCCTGGTAAGAGAAAATAGAGTTAGGGCTAGTATGTAGTTGTTTTGGCTAATTTTCGGCGACTGCGCCTCCCATTTCGCAGGCCTAAAATATAAAAGCTCTGCAGCGAATGTGGAATGGAAATATGGCATTTTGTCCAGACATATTTCTTCAGAAAGTGAAACAAATTGATATAAAAACATAGGACTTTAACAAAATTTTTTTCGTTCGAATAAAAACGACTTATGGGACAACCTTATAACTCAACGGAGTTATTATATAGGCCTGCCGCATCCATAGACTAAATTCAGAATCTTGAGAGAATCTTCTGAATCAATACCCCCTATTGCCACCAGCATTGGCCGACCACACGGCTCTTTTTATCGATCCGCCATAAGCGACGGACTCCGATCGGGGAGACTCCGACGCGAACGATGGCATACAGCGCCATTGTTTGAACAAAATCCACGCGTCGTAAAAGAGTTCCGTTTCCAGGACAACTCGCATTTTTCTGACGTTTTTGGAACCTTTGAGCCACCTTTCCTAAGCTTTTTCAGTGTCCATCTCCTATGACGTAAACCTACAGGCCAATTAGAGCTGAAAGACATTTAGTCCAAAAACCAGGTCTCAATTGGGTGAACTCGCGCAACAAGTATTTACTCACCTCAGCAGTTGGGCTACTTAGGAAGCTGTGCTGATCTAGTTTGAAAATTTTGACTTTTCTTTATTTTTTTTCCGATTTAAACAGCACGAGTGATTCAATGTTCGAAATTAAAGCGGCGATATTCAGGATTTATTGGGAAAATTATGGTGAAGGGCAATTCTCAGTGCCTTTGATCAGCCTGTAAAAGACTAATGAACGTAATTTAGGGTTTTTTTCAGCCCTATTGTTATAACTAACCAGAACTATTCCTAATGCCCCGCCCACTTCCATCTTCCTTATCTTAAAATCACATCAGCAGCGGTTTTTCTTCCTCAGCACTTCACAGTGCTCTGAAAACTTTAGCGTTCATCCACTCCATTCCACTCCAAGTGCTCTTTTTAATTGGTAGAAGATGTGATATAATTTTTTATATTATTATAATTAAGAACATGTATAATATAATATATAAATGCGATATAATGTGATAATGATCATTCATGAATAGAAACGTGTACGTTAAAAAGTTCAACGCTCGACATTGATAGATCTAGTGAATTTTCGACAGATTATCGGCTCATTACAAATGACTGCGGATCAGCCGATGTATGAAGTCGAGACTTTGTCCCGTTAGACACTCTATGAGGACTGATCAATGGTGATGGAGGTTGAGTGAATGATGGGTAAGATCAAATTGAACCCTTACAAAACAGCCCCTGATTCATATAGCGACACTTGCCAACCCACCCGACTTCCGCCGTACAGGTTCCATGATTGTCTTTCAAAAGACTGAACGGCGTGAGTCAGATATCACACGCAAGCTGGAGGGTCGATACGGCTGCAAAAGTGCAATCTTTTGCAACGAATTATTAGCCTTTTTTGCAGTTTGTATTATATCAGTTGTCACGTGGATTCAACTATCATTTCAAAAAATCAGCTACAGATAAACACTTATACCCAGATTTACTAGGGGGCCGTCGTTACGTGTGGTGTATGGTCTGCACCCAAGGCACTTCTCGTTTTTTGAAAGAGAGGGTATATAGTGATTGGAGTATTTACTCCGATAAAATCGCAGTATGAATTGGTAATTGGTTGAAAGCTGTAGAGCAAA